AAGGCGACCGATTGATAGGCTGTTGTGCGAAAAACGAGGCAGTGTCGCGAACGTCTTAAAGAGAGCGACCTAGTCCGCGGCTCAACCAGATCGGTAACCCTAATTTTTTCTGTTCGGTTTCTAACAGAACCGATATTTAGTATTCCGTTTAAACTGACAGGTAAGGTAGAGTTTCTAAAAAAACAAATCACCTAAGCGCTTATTGATCCGAATGATTCTTAATTTCTTTCATCACTCAAAACGCCACGACCATCAGACTCGTTTTCGTACCACCAAATCTCAAGACCCATGGCATGGCAGTCTCCCTCCACAACACATTCTGAAACCCTAGTTATTGAACGTCCCTCTCAACTTGCCTTCCCTGCCCCAGCTGCTACAGTATGTATAGGAGCACATGTCGATAACCAAAGGATAGCTTATCACATCTGCGCACGTGGCCGAATACAAGAAGTTGATCCATCGGTCGATACTTCCAAGTCGGAATCATGTATATATATGTATGTCGACGGTGGTATATGTATAGTACAGTGAACAGTTATGAGTTATCTACCTACTATAACAGCTTAAACATAAATGCTTTTAATTTGTTTTGAGAGTACGTAGAAATGAAGAGTCATAAGTAACTGGAATTTGTGGTAGAAAAGATTCAGACTTGTCATTCGTCGATTGGCAGGCAATGCATTGAATTAGGGCTGCAAAGGCCACAAGAAAGCAAAGGTCCCCGCAGAAAGGACGACCAAGGAAGGACTCAAATCACGTATCCCGGCCAGGACAATGCATGACGTACACTCTTGTCGACCGTTTTAATTAGGGTTTCGCTGAGAGCTCCTCGATCTCCACTCTTCTTAATTAGTGAAGGAGAAATTTTACTATGCTATATAGTATTGGTGCTATAAGGTTTTGCTTTTATGGTACAACTTAAAATTGTACATTTACGTTATGGTACAACTTCAGATTGTACCTATACTTTTTGTACAAATTCTTTTATGGTACAACTTGAATTTGTACCTTTATTTGATGGTACAACTTCAAGTTGTAAAGTTGTACCATAACATAATGGTACAAATTACTTTATGGTACAACCTAAACTTATACATTTAATGTTATGGTACAACTTTAAGTTGTACATTAAAGCACCAATACTATATAGCGTAGTAGAAGTGCTCTTAGTGAAGATCTAGTAGTTAAATTAATACACAGTTTCTTGTCGGTATCAAATTTGACAAGTGTTGCAAACTAAAAATATCAAGTTGATAAGGTATATATATGGTGGCTCGTGACTCTTGAGATAGAAATTCTATTTCCGATTAGGTTCGCCTGTATGAGTATTTGTTAGTTGATGCTTCAAAATGAGTTTGATGATGTATTAGCTAGCTAGTTTGTTGCATATTTGGGTACTGGAGTCGAATCATTTATTGATTATCTTGCATTACATATTGGAGTGTGTGGAGAAAGTCATGAGAGCTTATCCTACAAGTCAGACATGTGACTGTTGTGATATACTCGAGAATGTTGCACAAATTTATTTTCAAATCTAGGTGTTTTAATTTCATCCGGCTGAACTGGTGTTAAAACTAAATAATGCAGCAAAAAGGAACACTCTGAATGACCTATTAGACGAAGGAGGCAATGTTTGATTTGACGAGAGGCCTTACTTTGGGTCGGATCAGCATTAACACTTTAATTACTATGTGCTTCTCCACTTACCTCCACTTGACAAACAACGTAAAAATGAGCATTTGAGGGGATAAACTACTAGTTCCTTAGCACTTTCAATTTGAAAGGGACTTCAATTATGAAAATTGAATTGATAAGAATTTTGCACGACTGGTCTCGGATTGACCTAAGCAGGCGCCAGGCTCTGATGGATTCACGGGAAAATTTTTTAAAGCTTACTGGGGGATTGTGGGGAGTCGGTGGTGGCCGCGGTTGGCTCTTTCTTTGTTAGTAGCAGGATGCTCCGCAGTTTTAACCACACCTGATTAACGCTTATCCCAAAGGTGGATCAGGTGGATTCCATGCGCCAACTTCGGCCCATCAGTCTATGCCAGTTCATATATAAAGTGGTTACGAAGATCATGGCGGAGCGGCTGGCGGGGTTTTTGCCCCTCATTGTCTCGGAAGGTCAGAATGCTTTTATCAGGGAGAGACAGATAGTGGATAATATCCTGATAGGCCATGAGCTGATGCACTATTTGAAGATCAAAAACCGGGGAAAGAAAGGATACATGGCTCTTAAGGTTGATATGGAAAAGGCCTATGACAGAGTTGAATGGTCCTTTCTTCTGGCGGTTTTGGAAAAAATGGGTTTTAATGCGGTTTGGCGTGGTTGGGTGCAGGAATGCTTACAGTCGACTACTTTCTCGGTCCTTATGAATGGTACTCCTTCTGGCTTCTTTGCGCCCTCTAGGGGGCTTCGGCAGGAAGATCCCCTTTCTCCCCTCCTTTTTGTGCTTTGCACCGAGGGCTTTGCTGCCTTACTCCGGAAAGCCACCTCTGAGAAGAGATTGGAAGGAGTGAAGGTGGTTCCGAGGGCTCCCCGAATATCTCACTTGTTCTTTGCTGATGATTCTTACTTATTTCTCCGGGGTTCTCTCCAGGAGTGTGAGAATTTGATTGAAGTTCTAAATGAGTATGAGGAGCTTAGTGGCAAGAGGGTAAATTTGGAGAAATCGGCTGTCTGTTTTAGTAAAAATGTCTCGGTGCCTGATCAGGAATTCTTGGCGGCAGTCCTTGGTGTGGGTGCTATAGGGGTGCAGGATAAATACCTCGGTCTACCTACTTTAATTGCTCGCTCCAAGAAGGCCACGTTTCGATTCCTGGAGGAGAAGCTTTTAGAGCGTTTGCATGGGTGGAAACGCAGGACTTTATCCTGGGCAACTAAGGAAACTCTGATTAAATCTGTTGCCTTAGCTCTCCCGCTCCACGTGATGTCTTGCTTCCGCCTGCCGTTATCCCTTTTGTCGCCTCCTTGATAAGCATGTGGCCAGGTTTTGGTGGGGGTCGAGGATGGTCGGTCCAGGATTCTGTGGGTTTCCTGGCGAAATTTGTGTAAAAGTAAACATGAGGGAGGGATGGGCTTTCGTCGGTTTGAACAGTTTAATCAGGCGTTGTTGGCTAAGATAGGATGGCGAATTCTGAATGAACCCCTGTCCCTCCTAGCGCAGGTTTATAGAGGGAAGTATTTTCCGCAGGGATCCTTTCTGTCGGCTACGGCTCGCTCCCGCCCATCCTGGGGGTGGCAAAGCATTCTCTTTGGGAGGCAGTTGTTGACTAAGGGTTTACGCTGGCAGATTGGGAATGGTCAGAAGGCCCCTTTGCTTAATTCAAACTGGATCCCGAAGCAGCTTCCTTCGTCTCCTGTGTATAACCCCCGGGTTCTGCCGGCGGATGAGGAAGTGATGGTCTCGGCTGTCCTCCGTCCAGGGGAAGGGTGTTGGTGTGAGGATCAATTAAGCCAGTGGTTTAACCCCCCGACGTGTCAGGCGATTAAATTGATACCTCTGCCTCGTGATCAGGTAGAGGACCGATTGATCTGGCATGATACAGAGGATAGGATTTTTACTGTCAAATCAGCTTATCATTTGGCAGTTCGGCTGGATCAGCAGAGTGGGAGATGGCGATCGCAGGTGAGTTGGATGGATAAGTGTAGTTGGATCCGAGTGTGGGAAGCTAATGTCCCTCCGAAGCTGAAGGTGTTTGTCTGGCAAATCTTGACCAGAATTCTTCCAACAACGGAGGCATTAATTGAAAGGAAGGTAGAGGTTATGCCCCGTTGTCCGGTCTGCTGGGCTTCAAGCGAGACAATGGAACATTTGTTCCTTGAGTGCCCTGTGGCTACGGCTCTGTGGGCGCAGGCGGGGCTGGACTCTCTTGGTGAGGGGTTGCCCCGTCATACTTTCCCCCTATTCCTCAAGAAATTGATGGCTGTTTTGCATCAACCTTCGCAGCTCATGGCAGTTATTGCTATTCTGTGGCGAATTTGGAGATCCCGAAATTGGGTGATATTTGAAGGAAAACAGTTCAGCATTCAGGCTCTCATGAGACAGTATAACCAACAGATAGGGGAGTGGCTTGGCTTGCCTAGGGACCCTCAGAGTTCCCCTCTTCCCATTTCTGCTCTTCCTGCTGTGGATGCAAGTGGAGCAGGGGGACCTGTGTGTCACTGGGATGGAGCTGTTCGACGGGGGTCGCACTCTGCAGGAGGTATGGTGATTCTCAATGAGGCAGGGCAACCACTCTGGGCTGCAGGGGTTCAGTTTCCCAGTCTGGATAATCCAATGGTGGTGGAACTCCTGACTCTTCGGGAAGCTGTTCGTTGGTGCTTGGCGCAGGGGTTTCAGGTCATGCGGTTTGAAGGCGATGCTAAAGTGGTTATTGAGAAGATCAACAGAGCTTATATGCATGACAGTCGGGTGGGGGCTATTTTGGAGGAGATGATTTGTATCTTCAGGGGTAATCCGGGCTTTAATGTGCGATTTGTAGGTCGGGGTAACAATAGGGTAGCTCATTTGGTAGCTAGACAAGCCCTGTCTTTGTTCCCGTCTATGTGTCGTTATTTTGATTTCCAGTCCTGGCTGGCTTCCAGGTTGTAACTATCGATTGGTTTCTATCAATTAATGATTATCTTTTGTCAAAAAAAAAAAAAAAAAAAGAAGACCTAAGCTTCCCTTCGACACAACTATGCAATGATGAAAAGAAAGGACAGCTTGATTGAATTACACTAACTTGTTACTGTGTTCTTTTGAACCAATTAACATTGTTTTGTAAAAAATAAAAATAAAAAATTGTACATGTTGGTGTCCTAGTGAAGAGACATTGCTAATATCTCTCCCCACATTTAGGCTTAGCCCAAAAGAAGTGCGAGGTAAGGAAACCTACAACACATCCCAAAACTCAGCCAATAAATACCACATCAATAAAGGTATCCTCTTTTTCCTTTCCTTTTTCTTTTTTCCCACAAACTATTAGGAAAAAATGGGGAGCACTTGACAAAGTGCTTTGCTTTACCTATCTTATTCCATTAGGTAAAGTATAGAAAACAGATTCTTCTTGCTTCCTTCCCAACACAACTCTACCCGTGTTATAATATTAGGCACTCTCTCTTTGTTTCCTCTATGACATCACCATGACTGTTCAAAACCCAAACCGGTCAGAGGCGTCAAACCAACCGGCTGACGACTCATTGTCTTGACTAGGTAAATAGACATTGAATGGACTGGCTGCATGTGAAACTCTGTTATCTCGCTGATATAGTAGACGTCATCGCATGGTTGTTGCGATTCAATAGCACGGTCTCTACTATCATATTAACATGTTAGCATTAGTTACAAATGATCGAGATTGTTGGACAAAGCATTTTGATGATGTCATCTAACACGACACTCCACCTTCGAAACACACATGTTGACGGAACTACTGGAAATGTATGTTATTATATTTGCTACGATATCTATCCTTTTGTCATATACTAGATCCACGATTCTTTTTAACGCTGCATCAAACTGATAACAATTCAAAATAGTCGAGTCTGACTTCGATCCACATGACCGATCCAGTGACCCTATTATCAACCGAGGTGGCCAAATGAAGCATGACACCATTGGATATCACATTTGTTTACCAATGTGCGAAATATGCCATCCGAAATCAAGACAATTCCATAATGGTCAGCATTGGAAGGAATGATGCGCAAGCATTCAAAAGAGTAGTTATATTGCCAGATATGGATATATTCGCAATCCACTATCATAGGTGGATATAATTGTTTCTAAAAAAGAAGAATAAATAGAGATTTGGAAAACTAACTTTACATTTATCCTTGAAAGAACCAGATTTCACCATCATGAACTTACCATCTACGCTTGTTTATTTACCGTTACAACTCTATACAATCAAATCAGCAACTCACTCGAAATGTTTAACTTGATTATATTGGTAATAAACATTATTTGGATGCATCAACGTCACACCATTAGTTTCCCTAGCATACAAAACTCCACGCCTTTTGTAAACTTAATAAGTAACATCCGAAATGCGATTTGTAGACAACGTCAAAATCAAATATTTACAGATGATACAGTTTTGTAGACAACGAAATGCGATTTGATATAATATAACTTAGTTACATAGTCATGCAAACGGATTAATTTATTTTATTTTTGAGCTCACTCTCCACTCATTTTAATTTACACAAATTTTTTTCATCACCTGGAACCAAAGGATGGCAGCTGCAAGCTTGATTCCTCTGCTTCCCAGAACGATCCCGAACCCAAACCCTCTGCTTCAAACATCCGCCAGTAGCTCATCGACAAGACGCAGAACTCGCGGTCGATCGCGTCCTGCGAGAGATCCGGCAAATCGACGAACGTATCATCGTCGCCATCATCCTCGACGACAGACTCCGGCAGCTCATTGCTCTCCCCGACGCTGTCTGCTTCCTTGACGTCCAAGTTGGCTGCCAATGCGGCGGCTGCTTGGACGTCTTTCGGGGAAGCGGAAGCAGGGCGGGGGAGCAAATGAGCCAGCCGGGGGAAATTGAGGTGAGCTGATTCACCCTTGATGGCCAGAGCAGCCACGTCGTGGGCTCGAGCCGCCATTTCGGCCGTGGCGAAGGTCCCGAGCCAGATTCTTGATTTCTTCCTGGGCTCTCGAATCTCCGACACCCATTTCCCCCATTGCCGCATTCTCACTCCTCGGTAGGCTGCATTCGCGTGATCCCCTGTTTTGGCCTTCTTGCTGGTGCGGCCGCCCCTGACTTCTTCGTCGGCCGCAGCTGTCGAATCACCGTAGTTGTTTTCGTGATTGCGCTTGTGGGACTTGCTATTGTGATCTGAAGATGGGGAAAGAGAGAAATTGGAGTCGTTCGAGGAAGGAGATGACGGTGAAGAAGAAGAAGAAGAAGAGGTAGTAGTAGAAGAAGTAGAGAAGGAAAAAGAAGAAAGAGGGTCGATTTGAGTTTCAGAGTCAGAGAAGTCCTGATTAGTTGTTTCCATGGCGGAAGAACAGAGTAGAGAGAGAGAGAGAGAGAGAGAGAGATTCGTGAGAGTGCTAGAAAAGGGGTAGGGAAGGAGAGAGGCAAGTGCTTGGAGAAGAAGGAACTGAGGTTCTTGTTACACTTCCTTTAAGCTATGAGGTGTGTGTCTATATATATTTAATTTAATGAACTTTAACACATATTATGAGGGGAAAACAGAGTGAAGAACAAAAGGGTAAAGAAAAGAAAAAGAGTTCTTCAGTGTGCCTTGAAGTCATGATAGCAAACACACTTTTGTTGTTGTTCATACAAGTTCTATTACACTTTTCTCTACACAAATCACCAGCTTCACATCACATGTGGTCTAAAATAATTATTATTAGAGAAATAAACAAACAAACAAAAAAGAGATGATTTCATAACTTGATCAAGCTGAAGATTCAAGAATGACAGTCCTTCACCAAACTGGACAAGCTTCTCTTACAAGGTAGGTAACTAGTAGGGCTGGTTATTTGGTCCGGGTTTTTTGGTTTTACCCGAAATCGAACTGTATAACCCCGAGACCGGTTCGGGACTGGATAGTAAACAATCCAATCCAATTTTTGGGACTTAGATTTGAGGTAAAAAATCGTTCGGGACCGGATCGAAAACTGGATAAAGACCGGATAAGAGAGCTCAACACCCAAAACTTAAGGGTAATTTGCATAAACGATCATAAACCTTTGCACTTAGTACAAAACTTATCCAACTCCTCACCCTTTCAGGCCTGAGGCCACTTAAATCCCCAACAGCTCAATATAAAATCAAGACCGAATTGGGACCAGACCGGGTCAAAACCGGACTGTATTCAATCCAATCTTTGATCCTTGTATTTTCAAAAAAACAAGACTGGACCGAATTAACTTGGGCCAGTTTAACCGGACCGAACCGTATAGCCACCCTAGTAACTAGATAGTCCTCCTCTACTTGCCTCCAACTCGTTAAATTCAAGAACCTGGTCGATTAGGATGGAAAGAGATGACTTTTTCCACTCGTAGTTATTCATCATATTTGGCATCTTTTAAGCTATATTTTAACAATAGTGTAATTACAAGATTAAATGGTTTGACTAATACAGTTAGACTGGACAGTACCGTTCAGTGGATTGTGGAGGCCCTGTTCCAATATCGAGATGTGACACATATTAGTTTTAAGTATAATAAAATTAAAATGATTATAATATTATTGTTCGAAATGTAATATCTTTCTGTATTGTTTAAAATAAATTATATATTATCTCTATTTTTTGTAGTCTTCATAACATCATTTTCAATTGTTATCCTAGCAATTTCATTAAGATTTTTTTTAGTATTGTTAATACAAATAGAATTTTTGAAACACAAACGATACTTTAATCATCAATATAAATGTCTAGTGTATATACATGAGATTATTAACCAATAACTAAGTGGAGGCTCCTATTATTCGAAGGCCCTGTGTCGGAGGGCCAGCCCTGAGACCGAATCAAACTATTTGAGCGTTAAGACACACAAACCTCGCGGTGGACATAGACAAATACAGATAATGAGGCATCTATCAGCCCCATCCCATTCCCATCACAGTCAGCATAATGAGACCAATATCATTCAGTAAAACTTGTGTCAATATTGTGGAAGAATTAATGGAATCTCTTACCCACGAGGTTAGAGATTGCAATGCATGAGCCATGAAGGAACTGGTCAAGAAGAGGAGCTTTACAAGTTTTCTTTTCTTGAGTGCTAATTATGTCTTATTCAATAGTATTAGTGTCATTTAATATGACAAAGAGTTAGCCCTTACCCTTATCTTCTGCTTTTCTTTCTTCCTTCTATCGCATCACCAATTAGTTAGCAGCTTAAGGTACAGAAAACCTAATTGGAAAACGATTAATTTTAACTAAACACAAAAGGGAAGGGAGATAGAGCCATCCGAGTAGGTGAACTTTAGTCCTATTAAATGAATAGAGTGTGGACCAACACTGTGTGTACTGTACCCCCCTTCCATTTTCCAGACACTTAGTTAAGTGAAAATAAACTTGCCGACTACCACATCCAAACTCTTCGGTAAAATTGGAACGATACAGGAAAAGTTTCGATCAATCAATGTGAACATCTATTGCTCTCCAATCTATACGAACAACTTTGATTAACATGTTTGCGATCAACTGCATTGAATCAGTGTTATATTCACCTTATGCAAACATTTAGCATAGCGATGATATTTCTCACACCTCCCATCTTCAACCGACCTTATTCATTAGGGTTAATATCTTATTTTGATCCAAACTATGACCATATAATCAACTTTGGTCCGTGGTTTCAGTATATTAACATTCTGATCTCAACTATATAGCATATAAACTCAATTAACACGACACATGGTTTGACCGTTAATCAACACGACATGTCATTGCTTCGTCAACCTAAAAATCATTGAAAAAATTCAAATTTCCTAATTTCTATTATTTATCATTTTGAAATTAACCAAAAATAAAATTTAAAAGTCTTCCTCTCCCCTGTCAAAGCTAAGCTACGCCTCGCAATCCTCCGCGCGACCGTGCCACCTCCCATGTCGCCGCCTACCCTCCCTCCGACCGCTCAATCTCTGGCGGCCACGGCTCCCGCCTGCAGCTGCAACGAGTCCCTCATGGATCGCCTCCACGCCACCAAGAACGCCTCCATTCCATAAAGTGCCTCTTCACAATCCACGCTGTGTTAGCCACTAGCTCTCCGTCTACCTTGCTTCTGGCGGGAGGAACTCCTTCAACTTGTAGAAATTCTGCAACGAATCCGACCCGAAGGCCTAGGAGCTCTCGTCGTGGGTCCGGAGAGGAGGAAGTGTGGGCCGAGTGAGGAGAGAGGCATTTTTTAACTAGCTTATTTGGCCGGACTATTCATATTTAATTATTTATATTTTTATGTTACGTTTAAACTAATCAACCGGTTTAATTTTATTGACAATCCTTCGATCGAGATGATACATAAAGAAAGAATATATAGGTCTAACATTCGGAGAAATACCATATCATTTAAGAATAAAAAATATAAAATTTATCAATAATTCAATTTTCATAATGATAATTAAGCTCTTATTAAAATGCTATTGATTAGTTGATTGTCAAGAAAGAGAGTATAAAAGCTCAGTGAAATTCCACATGACCCATAGATAGTTTGACACTAAATCTTAAACCTCACAATCCTACACAAGGGTTTAATGCGCTCCTTTTATGAACAATATGCCACTAATCTAAAAGAAATGGAGAGTTGTTGATTCAAGTCAACTATATACTAACAACTCAGCTAAGAGGGGACCATCAAAACTTGAGAGCAAACGACAAAATTAGGGTTATCTCAAACATACTAATATCCTCAATCAAAGTAATAAGGCACAAAATTAAACACTCCTGGTTTATTAGTTCCAGTAGGTTGAATAAAGAATCGACCTATGTCAATAAATCAATCAATGATTCCTCGTTTTAAGATAGAAATAGGTTGTGATAGATGTAAAAACCATAAATATAAAGATCCAATAGCCACCACTCTTCGTTGTACAACCAAATTTTTATCTCAAGAGACATATATTTCAACCAAAAATTCAATTTCTAATCCTCCTTCTGCAACTCCATTATTTATTAAACTCTTTTACTTGCCCAACTTAAAACTCAACAATAAAACCGACGTGCCAAAAGATACCAGATGATTGATTTTCAAAGGAGGCCTTGTACTGGGAAGTGAAAGGGGTGCAAACTATTGTACGATGGAGAGTATTTTTGAGGAAGTTAGAAAGAGATAAGAACAAAGATAAAAACCACAAAATTTAAATTGAAAAATGCAAGGACACAACACGTAGTGACAAAATTAGTTTTTTCCATGTTAGCCAATTACCAATTTACCTTTAGCAAAAATTAAAGAGAGAGAAATAATTTTAAAATTGAGAAAGTACATGAAACTCTACAATGAAAATTGAAGTATCAAGCACCATAAAAATACATACGGTATACTTAGTGGGCTTGCTAATCATGATGGAAAGTCCTGCGATTTTCAGAGAGTTGAACTTCGTGTATATTTTGTATTAAAAAAGACACAACAAATTTGTTCAGTTTAAATGGTTGTGATTGTTGTCTTTGTTTGAAGAGACTCGAGTTCAAATCCTAATGTTGATATTTTTTATGTGAGATAAATAATTAATTGTAAAGACAAAACTATCCTTCCTACTTTCACTCTCATTGCACGAAATTTGAAATGGAGAAAAGTACACAAAAGTGTACTATATATTATTGGAGGATTTTTGTTTATTTTTATTTAATATTTAATTTTTATTTTTCACACGGCATCTACATCAGCGTAGCATGTTGATTCACTAACAGTCAATAATATTGACCGCCTAATTTGACGAAAATTCCCGAATCAGGCCAATTGAGTATATATGGTGCATAATTGAGGTCTGGATGTTAATTTATGAAATCACGGGTCAAAATTGATTATATCATCATAATTCGGGCCGGGCCAGAATAAGGTATTAATTAACCCTATTCTTTATCCATTACATCTTTTGCGTCTTCCTAGCATAACTAACATAGCTATACCAAATGCGAGACTCTATAAATCAAATCGATTATGCCTAAAAAATGTACCTAGGACGGACAGATACATATTGTGACTACCAAGTGACAAAATAAAAGCTGTCAATGGGGTCTCTTTCCTTCAGCTTTAGCACCTTCAACATTTGTGTGAGCCTGAGGGACAACAAACTGTACCAGCTAACTACTCTCCATTCAATTCCCCCTTTCAAAAGTTCCCCCCCTAACTTTTTGGATTGATAGTATTCCTATCCTAGTCCCTGTACTTGGACATTTTAACAAATATAGTCCTGCGCATCATCAAGAGTCTACTCACTAAGAACATGGGTTGGGTAAAAAATTTCACTCGAGGACTAGAAACAAATTAAACGACAGTGCTAAGAGGAGCTTAATAAATGTCGCTAACCTACTTTTTCTTTTCTCTTTTCATGAAAGTGGCCACTAGCCCATTTATCACTACAAGAGGCTTTCACTGTTTGGAGATTTGGCCCATTCCTAAATCATGTTAGGGAAGAAAGAAAAGAAAAGAAAAGAAAAAAAGACCAATCATCTTATAACCACCAATTTCCATATCCCTAACCAGAAAGAAAAACAATAAAAGAGCAACCATCCTATTGGATTCTAACAAATAGCACATAGCATTATCACCAGCTACTATTTGATAACTAAGTTTTGTCGTTGTTACTATTGCTGTTATCATGGAGCCTGAGCTTGTTTTGTTTCTTCTTCAAATTAAACAACGAATTTGCATGAGAAAAAGAATCAATGATTAGGGTTCGACCATGTAGTACTTCACTTACAGGAGTCTGATTTCTAGATTATGGCGTCAGGTTGCGTCATTCGAGACCTCTGTTCATCTCGCTGCCATAACTGACAACCATTTTTCCCAGCAACGCGGAATTCAGATGAGTACCTGAGAAGCAATCAATCCAAGTACATGCATAAATGAGTGACGATGAACGACCAAGGATCAAGCGAGTCAACAAAATAAAGCACAAGTTGTTTCATTCTCATGGATCAAATGGGAAGATTAAAGTGGTACAAACCTGTGAATGATATCATTAAAGCTCGATTTTGCCCCTCGAGGTTTCCAAGGTTGTAGTACTTCACCCTTTTCTTCTGGGGATCTACCATGTTCCAGGATCTCAAAAATATCTGAAACAGAGACCATTTGATAACAGATTTAGTGGCTATGCTCTTGCAGCACAGAGTGTGTCGTAAGGTACACAGGTAGGAGATGGGGAGCCGCCCTTTCTTTTGTTCCTTTTCTATAACTAGCAGACAATCGTGCAAAAGGACCATAATAAGAGTGATCATTGGATACAACGAATTAAGGGGCATGGGCTACAGTAATACCAACTACAGTCTAGCTGCTAAGGGTCAGAAAGAAAGCAAGAGAGCAGACAAACCACACTCGCGAGATGTCAAAATCTAGGAACTGTTGAGTTTTTAAGACCAGAGGAAGCCACTTAGAAGACCACTCGAGGGGAGAATAATAATCATAATGGAAGATGATGTGTAATGCATGAACAAAGTTGCTGATCTTTCTGTCAACCATTTCCATGCTACAGAGTAGTAGCATACGTTAGGGAAGATTTCAGGATATTAACTGCAAAAGATGAAAACACAGCATCTTTGTGGCCCTTCTGCATTTCTTCTTTTAGTTATGGGGGAGACTAAGACATGAATATCACGTTCCTAAAAATAGTTCCAACATCAAAATATAAGAACTTATTGCAGAACAGCAAAACTTGGTCATTCATAAAGTAGGAGGTGTACCTTTTTCTGAATATGTTTATTAATGCTCTAGCTGTCCCTATCAGCCAAGAGCTCAGTTGACACAGTCCAACTCATTCCTCCTTCGATCCGTGGCACTATCAATAGAACCAAACATATGATTAGTACTCATTGAGACAGAGAGAAACTTAAATTTGTACTCAAGAGAGAGAGAGAGAGACATGGATGATGTATATTACAACATTGTGGCTGGAGGCAGAGGGGTCGAGGAGCCTAACAAGTAACCCCAGGGTGCTTCGGGAGGAGGGCGGCCAAGTAAAATGACATACTGGACAAGTGTTAAAAAGTCACATATTATCTTCTAGTGTATGAATCTTCTCTGAACTGCTGAGATTAAGGCTCATACATTGACCCCTGCGGTTTGCAGAAGATGCTAACACAAGAAGATAAGACACCATGATTTGGACACTTGTCCACTGCATCAGATTGACTTGCCTACCCCTCAACAAATGATTTACTTATTGACCTTATTGTGCTCTGTCTCCAACTGTAATGTTGCAATATGACTTCTCCTGTCACTCCCTTCATGGGAGTACAGATAGTCTGTTTGATTCAAAAGCAATATCATGCAACAAAGAATAATTACGATCAAATTGTATAGACTAAGCTCTTATTCAATGCATTCGGTACTAGATTAACAGCATACAGTACACAAAGATTATTTCTCCAAGCACAGGAGCATTAACTCATTAAATGGCAGCAGATCAGAGCTTGCAGATAGACAGCTAACACTCTCAATAGGGAAAATTCTGCATAGTTGTGAGGAATAGCTATCAATGATTACCAGCAATCAAGACACAGTGGCGTTCCAGATAGATGAATGTTCTGCTCCTGGCTGAAACATAAATTAAATAAACCAGACAATAACGCTAAATAAGCAATGGATATACAACAGAATGGAAAAACCAAACAAGTTAATTTGGAAATTCACTAACCATGCTGCCTCCTCGGATCATGATAAGTTGCCAACATCAGAAACTTTTTGTCCTAATTTTTTAGGCAATTCAGAACTGAATTACCGTCAAAACTTAATATTCACGAACTTGACAAATATTTATACTACCAGACCCCGTGAGACAATATAACAGCAGTCTTAAGCCGGCCAAACCTGCATGTCGCCACATTCCCAAATAATATAACAACAAAGCTCAACGATCCAGCATAGCTTTTGGATCGCTTCTCAGTCATTTTTGCTAGTGAATCTTCTGGTGATCATACACAATAAACAAAGCAACAGTTTTGAACACCACCATCGGAATTCCATTAACCATTAGATAACAAACATGCACAGCTGGCAATTCTCTTCACCAGGTAGACCTGTTACCAACTAGCATACATGCAAAACACACTGCTCATGTAATATAATATTCACAATGACATGCTAGCAATGCGCGAACTTTCAGTGTAAGTTCAAGAGCAAACTTTGCACTGCACAAGTTTGGGACACAGTACCCCTTCCCCACCTCAAAGCAAAAATTTCTAAAAGCCAAACACTTAGCACCAAGGATGATTGTGCAACGAAAACATTCAAGAACAGACATGCTCAGCACTGACAGTCCAAATAGAGAACGAAGTTTAAAGCATCAGCATGTGTCTAATGCCATGCAATGTTGAGCCAATACGTTCTCAACGAATCAATGCCATCTGTAACGTGTTCTTTCACCTAAACCAGCTACAACAAAAATCATGAAAGCACTTGTTGGAACCTTCTTCCTAACATAGATAGTCAAGTATTCCTCCTACAGCAACGGATAACATCCCATGTCACTTACTACAACGCGTTATACTATCGTTAGAACGAAGTTATGACGCCAGAACTCATCTTGTGAGGAAATAAAGAGAAGCATGGGTAAGGCAACTATATTGTTGAGATCTGGTTCCGAAATTCATGATTCAAAACCTCTCTCTTTCTCTTCTTAAAGACATAATTGCAATGCTTTAGCTAGGAGCAATATCAGTATTAGTTGGAATGATGTTTAGTTTCTTTCTAGCAGTCAACTCAGCAGTTTGCAGCGAGTACATCTCTCTAATTCTTCCTTTTTTCCATGTTCTCTTTGTTCTTGCCCCACATGCAAGCAGATAATTTACTCGAGCAGAAAATGAAAAAGAAAAAAAATCACCAAAATCCAAAGATTTTATGAACAACTTCAAAGCAAAGAAGTATAGACATATAGTAAGTAAAAGTTGAACTATCCATTACAAAAATATTAACCAACAACACAACACCACAAATATTTTCACAGCAACCGCAGTCTAGGTTACAAGCTTGACATGGAAGTAAGCTACAATGAAACGGAACCAAAAACCTCAATAAGGAGAAACAAGACCCAATAATATCCCAGAAAAAGAAAAGGTTATCTCATCAATGGTCAATTGCACATATAAACTCCACTCTGGTACCTGTGATTAACCTCATAGAAGTCTGTATTCCCCTCCGAGGCAGGCCGCAAAGAAATCTCAGATAACGAGGTAGTTCCTTCCATGGAGAACTTAACATAACAAACTGCCTCTATCTCTTCGTCACCTTCTCCTTCACTCGAGTCAACAGGCATCCTCACCCTCAATTTACCAGGAGCACCTTTGAGTGCAATCTCTGGCACAACCCATTTCAATTCTTTCTGAGACCTATTCAATGCTGCTTTGGGTGAAACCTTCAACAAAGATGGATCAACAGGCAACTTCAAAACAAATGTCACATCCTTCAATGGTACAGGCAAATCTGGATTCAAGACGTACTGGATCATGACAGAGAAAAGGGTCCCACTATGACGTTGAACTAGACGGACCCTCAATGGCAATGGAGTAGACTTAGGGAACAAACTATACTTCAATATCGGGATAGGTTCATCTGAAGCAGCAGTCCTAACATGAAACATTCCATTACCAAGGCTACTGACCTTTGAACTGTGCATAACAAACCGCTTGACTGGTTTTGTGTTATCAACTCGGAATGAAAACTCGGTTTCTTTATCGCCAGACTGTTTGGTTGGCAACGTTTTCAAATAAACTACACCCATCAACCCAACTCTCGCAAGCAGCGATTCTCTAAACTCGGCACTAATTTCTTCAACAATGTACATTTCAGGTCCCTTCATTTCAGTTTTCTGGACCAAGAGATTCTCGAGAGGAGTATCTCCACCCCCAGCTGCAGCGGCCTTTGCTGCCACCGCAGGATCAGCACCTGTTTGAAGCAATTCCAATCCACCAAGACCTTGCTGCTTTGGAATTTTCTTGGTGCCTACAAACTCTGAGGCATCTAATCCACCACCCCAAGCTTCACTAAACCCTTCAAACGTCTCTCCCAGAGAAGTCTGTTCGTTGCTGAACTCAATCCCACCATAATCCCCTTCGAACCCCTCCACAGCAATACGAGTAGCTTGAGTAGCTTCAGCAGGCGGCAATGTCGTAACCTCCAGCCCAGCTAGAGCAAGGGTCAAATCGCTACCCTGGCTCTTATCCTTCTTGAACTCACCAGCAAGATCCTCCTGTTTGTTTACCGCCTCGCTGGCGGCAAAAGGATCTTTAGGTCCATCCTTCTCTTCCTCTTTCTCTTCCTTCTTCTCCAATTGCTCCACAACCGCAGGGGCAAGGCTGGCCGCTACTTCATCTCCCGCAGCGAGCGTCTCTGGCGGCAGCTCGAATATTGCATTGGAGAACGCTTCCACGCTGCCTTCGTGTTCAATCGCGTGACCTTCCACCGCAAGCCAGCTCTCCCCGCCGCGAATCTTGCTTTCCGTGTCTAGCGCAGAGTGTACCATTTTCGCAATGCTCTCCCCGTGCATCGAAGCCAGCATAGCCGCCAATCGGATGCTGCTCACTCCTCGGAGAACGATATCCAGCGCCATATAGATCTCGGCGTACTTCCGGCTCAGCTTCTCCGGCGTGACGTCGACGCCGCGGCAGGCCGAGACGATGACGCTGACCGCTTGGTTTACGATGTGGATGCACTCGAAGACGTTGACGGAGTTGTCGTGGTCGGCGATCGTGATCCCGAGGACGTATATCCCATTGACGAGGCGGTAGACAACGCGGTACTGGCTCTCCACGCCGACAATGAGCTGGCCGCTCGATGCGGCGAGGGGGTCGTCGCCGAGGGAGGAGAGGGAATCGGAGGATACAGAAGGGGCGTAGTCATCGGCGGAGGAGGAGCGGTTGTGGTTGGGTGCGGCGGGGTGTTTGGTGGCGGCGAAGGCCAGGCGAGTCTGGCGGAAGGCAGAGGTTGCGACTAGGGCTCGCGCCGGAGGGAACCATTCCCGGGTCTGGATCAGGATGTCGGATCCATTGGCCGGTTGGAGGGAGAGAGCGAGACAAGACATTTCGTCGACGACGGGAATCCCGAACGCCGGGGAATTTGACGGATCTAGATCTCTGCTTCCTTCTGGTTTTCTCTAATGAGTAGATTCCCCTTCGCCTATCTGTGAGCTCCTTTTCTGATCTGCGGGGAGACGGCGAAGCAAAGAGAGGTTTGCAGTTCCGCTGGACTGGAAGGAAATTATCAGCTGCAACCGTTACTAGTGAACTGAAGAAATGGATCTTGTACGATGCGAACACGTGTCCCTTTGACATCTAATTCACATTTTATTCAAACATATATAATTATATATCATGTCAAATAGTATTTCATAATATATAGCAGGTACAAGGGAAATAACCAGTGTTATTAAAGTCGAACCGAGCTAGTAGGTCTGACTGGTAAAACTAGCACTCGGACTCGAAATCGGCTTGGAACACTCATTTAGTCGGAACGGTTTTTAGAAGCAGTCAGCAAGCGGCCGAGATGGTTAACCGCTCGAGCCGCTCGAATCGAGCACCCCATTTTTCCTTTCGGCCAGTTGGTTTAATTAAAAAAACGGAAAGGGAAAAACTACGGGTTGCCTGAAAAATAAACCCTAACTCTAATTCTTCATTCTCGTCTTCATCTTCATGCGACTGAACAAACAGAGAGGAAGCCCTATCGTCGTTCCCCGTCGCATCTTCATATTCGCCAGTCCCCATCACAAGTCTCCGTCGCCACCGTCGGTCGCCAATCCCCTCTCGTCGATTTGGCGAGAAGCCGAGAACAACCCAAAGTCTAACAACCCAACCTCTTCGTCCCCGTCGAATCGGCGAGCTCTCCCCTGAGAGTGTGGGAATTGTCGTTGTAAGGGTGAGAGATGCAAAGAGAGTTTGGGAAGAGAAGAAATAGAGAGATGGAAAAATTGAAGAGAGAGAGGGGGGGGGGTTAGCGGTGAGCGGCGTTGTCAAGGGTGGGTGGGGATTGGAATTAGGGTTTGTTACTTAGTTGTTATATATAGAGCTCAAAAAATGATATCTAACGGTCATATCACGTGGAGTATGGTATACTCCTGAAGTATACCAGTAATTACCATATATATGTGAGATAAAATTACTAAATGGTACATGGAAAGTAAATTGCATTTTAGTAATTAAATTGTTAAATTACAACCTTGAGTGACTTCTACTTATGATGTTATTGTTTATAAGGTGTCAGTTCTCTAACAATTTTTAACGGTCCAATACCGATTGAACCACTAAAGTGCGAGTCGTTCACGTTACAGGGTCATACTCCGGTTAGATTCTGACAACATTGAAAATAACCCAAATACTTATTGTATGTGGCTATATCGATTTGCTTAGAAAGATCCTTAATGTACACATCAAACCTTCCCTGGAACTGACACTACAAACCATACAGAGAAAGAAATGAGAGCCATGAAAGGTTAAGACATACAAGTACTAGAGCATGCGAGACAATTTCAAGTCACCTTATTGAGAAATCTGACCATTGGCATCGACGATTGGAAGAGCTTTGACGTGCATAAATGGGACAGTATGACAATTTTGTTATAAAACATAAATTTTGCAACCATCGAGTTACATGTTTCAACAGAGAGGGTGGATTGAGTCCGGACACGTTGAGTCGTTTGGTTAAGTGAATTTTTTATTATTAGTATTTGTTACACCCCGATCTTTCTAAGGGTCAAAATGACTATTGTACACTTGGATTAATTCGTCAAGTTCCACTGTAATATCGATGGATATTAAAAATGTGAACTATCGGTGCGACCGGTGTCAAATTTTAATGTACAGTGAGGAAATTATGGACGTAATTAGGTATCGCTTCAAAATCCAAACAACCGATTGGGCTAGCTTGAGTAGTGAAGAGAGTGGGCCGAGGCCAGGCCCAACCCGATCATGAAAAAAAAAACAAGGGCTCGAGCCCGGCTTGTTGGAGTTCTCAACGGGGAGAGAAGGAGCGGGCTATTGGCCTAGGAAGAGGAGGAAGAGCGAGGCCTTAAGCCCGTTCTTGTTCCCTCTGCAAATCGACGAGGGGAATTTGGACAAGCAGGGCGGCAATGGAAAACAAAGCAGTGGCAGAAACGGCTGGGAAAATTGGTCGGGAAAGCAGGTGGAGTAACGTCGTGTAACAGAAACAATTAACTTTGAGGATTTTAATTCGGATTGATGTGCGTTAATGGGAGGTCGGTGAGGGAGCGAGCAGCTAGCTAAAATCAGGATACCAAACTTGCCACCATTCAGACTAGTCCAATGGGTTCTTCGTCCATTCATTTTGGGACGAGAAGGAGATGGATGAAAAGTCAGGATTTTCGAGGGGAAGAGGAGATCCTGATAGGAGAATGGCCATCACGATTATTTTTGAGGTGGGAGATGATGGGTCTTTAGAAGGAATAAAGTCAAGGTGGAAGCTAACAGTATAAACCCACGCTGTGAGTTTATAACGAAGAATATGAGAATACCACCTTTGATAAGACCTTAATAAAGTGTTTGTAATCACCCGTAGATGGAGTTGTGACGGCTTAATTGGAATTCAACTGTGCTTGCGAGTTCCAAATTCCAAAACTCAGGAAGCTCCGAAGCTGGTTTGGTGGTGGCTATTGAGAAGTGTTGGCGGCCATGACTCTTTGGTCGACAGTGAGAGGGAGTTTAAGGTGAGTGTAAAGGGGATAAATTCTACGCCTTACGAGTTTTAAATATGTGTTTTACGTGAAATATATGTCAGTGCTTGATTATGTTTATGCTTGATAATGCATGTTCTCGTTGGAGATATTGTTTGATGTGCTTACTTGAGTTTTCATTATTTACCCTTAAATAAGTTAAGGTGAAGAGAGTAAGGGAAAGTAATAAGTAAGAACAAGATAAGTAACCTCGCTTAGCTAGCCACGTTCATGAGGGATCACTACTGGACGACGATACGTAACATAGTAGTTGATCGGGCATGGAACTGGATGTCGATATGTAACGCAGTTTACATTGCCAAGTTTTAGGTATGCAACCGGACGGCGATACGTAACGCGGTTGCACACATTAGTTTTGACACCAGACGAGGTACGTAACGCGATAGTCAAAACTCAATTTGAGAGGCACCCCATTGTGAGGGTAGCCATTTTTAAGTAAGGTTAGTAGTGCCAGCTAAGTCAAGGTAGGGGCCCCACAATAAGATAAAGGATGAGATAACACAGTTTTAAGAGTTAAAGCTTTTAAGGTTGTAAGTAAGAACAACTTCCACCTATTTAAGTAAGTGTTTTAAGTAAAGTGTTCAAGTATTCGTGATTTAAAAGATAAGGGCGTAGACTGACCCCATCTCACTCACCAGTTTGAAGAGCTAGAGGAGGAGCTTGTGAGCAGCAAGTTCGAGGGTAACCAGCTAGAGGAGGCAGTATAAGCGTCACGAGGGATGTCTGGTCAAGGTTATCAGTCAGCAACAACATTAGAGATTATTAGTTATTTACATTTATGATTATGATTATGAGTATAGACTGGAGATCATTTTGAGATTTTAAGATTGAGTTTGCTCATGTGTTAGGGTGTTGCTTTGAACTGCAATTTAAGTTTTGAGTATTTTATATCTCAATGGCATTTTAGTAAAAGTAGTGCTCGGGCGAGCTAGGGTGTTACAGTATTAGTGAAGTGAGTGTTGGGTGAATAAAACTAGCCGATTTTTGAATGGAGAAAGACGCAATGACATTTAACCATGTATTACGGTATTATACTATTATTATTATTATAATTACGAATTAAAGGTTTACTAGCACAGGGGCCGGCCTGTTGGCCGAAAATATTTTGTCGACAAATATGATATATAATGATGGAAATAATAGATGATTTGAAATGCATGAAATGGTTGTTTTCTACCTTAGTTATGCACATAACATTTTTTTTAAAGTGGTCCAACTATGCATAATTATTTAGACCTTCATAAAAAGAGAAAAATACAATATAAGCATTACATATAATTACTGAATAAAACAATATAACTAACTGTCATTTATTTCTTAATTAAACTTATTAGAGTTGACCTTTAACCATGCATTGCGGTATTATACTATTATTATTACGAATTAAAGGTTTACTAGTAATCAGCCCGAAGATGTAAAAAAAATAGTAATCAGTCCGCGCTCTGCCGCGAGATACGTTTGATTTGTGTAATCTACTGTTACCATAATTGAAATTTGGAAAGATTGCACACATGTAAACAGTTATATAGCTACCATCAACACACCAAAAAGTAAATAAAAAAGATTAAGAACAATATGACTTATGCAGTAACTCAAAATTAGCACACCAGAAAGCAACCATTTAAGCAGAGCTGCACTTTCCCTGAGACAAATCAAGAGGTCAATATTGTACTGCGATTGAGTAGGAAGCGTTTCAATGCGCCATTTCAGTAAAATTCAATTGGCACAAACCAAGATACAACCTACGGAAAGGAAATTACAATGAATTGATAGAACCATAAGAACAATAAACCTTAAGCTTCGTTAAGGGTTTTAATCCTCATATTAGACCGAGATACCAAAATTACATTTGTGCCAGAGCTGTACCAAAGTGCCATGTACAAAGAACAAAAAGTTAATGAATTCCGAACATAAGAATTAATGGCGCTCCAGTCGTGCAACTTCACTTCTTCTCCTTCTGCATTTCAACCATAGTGAATTTAGAATGAATCCATGACTTGGTAAAAACAGATTTCTAACCATAAAGCTACTAAGATATTGTAAGTTAGATAAATGACATAATTCCCAAAAAAGTTACTAAACAACAATGGAAGATATTGTTTTCCCACAAAGGAAATTCATACATCAATAAATTTTGGTAGCAAATTACAATGACCTAGCTCACTACCCTAACTCGTTGCATATCATAAAGATTGGTCTCAGCCTTGTAAAGGAACTACCAGATCAACAAGCAAGAAGCAAAGTTGGAAATCTCTAAAGTTTTATTAAAAAAATGACATTCGCCTAGATTCACAACAACAAACTCTGGGAAAATGAGCTGCTTGCGGGCAATGATCACTTCACTGGGTAGTTCAAAAGCATATCCTGGAAAATGAATGCAGCCAACGCATCCCCACACCAGCTGATAAAAAAAGTTGCTACTTGCTGATGAGTCGTCTCCATCTTCTTTCCACTCCCACAGCCGGCGATCATTCACATAATGTAAATCCCAAAGATTCCACTCCTGTCATTGAGAGGAAAACAGAGGGTAAGAAATCACCATCTTCAGATATCACGATATGAATTATGGAGACTCAGCTCGGCCAGTGACTCTGTTAACAAACGTCCAATATCCATACTGAACAAACAGGAGATGAAGAGGGAAAAAAGATTGAAAATCGATTATCAAAGGGGTCATCAAATGGGGATACCAACCTATTCCATTTCTCCAGAGAAGAACAAATAGACCTTCTCTACGTGTCACTCCTTCACCCTTCCTCACCTGCTTTATATTACTCCCTCCCTCAACCGGGAAAAAAAAACCCAAAGAGTGAAAGTGAGAAGTCGATAAGAGAGTTGAACAGGAAGTGGAGAAGAATGAACAGAGCAAAGAGATATCAACTTCCTCCGGTTCTCCCTCTCATGTGGAATCTTAAAATTAAAGTTTTCTCTTCTCGTTTCTTCTCCCAACCACGGTTCTGAATCCTAGATGTACATCCTTAGAGGGCATACATCAAAACTTTCACCAGCAAGTGGGAGCATAACAAACCTAAAATTAAAAAACAGAAAAGGGTGTTTAGAAACACACCATATGCGTGCATGCTCACAGGTGAAAAACTCGAAAAGTGAACGAAAAAAGATACTTTTCAAAGAATTTGGAGAAAGAACTGCTCTTGGTCTTGGGAATCGAATAGGAAGATCACCTCTCCTCGAAGATGGATGGGCTTCATCCAATAGCAAAAATAGTAAAAGAGGATGTCTCTAACTTATGAGCTTGCTGCTTATGGATCAATGCTGAGA